CTGCAAAAACACTGCTTCTGTGGCCTGATCTGATGTCATAAATTATTTTGTCATAAATGAAGAAAAACAGCATTCTTACCTCTCTGGGTCCGCAGTCAGATGACCCAGGCTGTAAACTGGAAAGTATTTGTTCCATCGGTGGTGTTGGCCAGCCTAGCAAACTGCACGAGCATCTGTATCAGCTGCCTTGGAATTGCTTTTGATGTGATTAGGCTCCTAATTAGCTGTCTCAGTTCTTCTCTCCCTCCTGATGTTTTCTTTTGATTCACTTTGACTCGAAGGAGTCTGTATTCTGTGTATGTTTGTTTTTGTGTTTTGTCTAAAATCCCTAATGATGGCTTAGACTGTCCTCTTTTGGTTGAGAGTTTCCCTGTGTTGACATACATTTTTCTGTTAGATGCATGCATCAGGATTTTTCTCCTAAGAATAGCTGGTGTTTGGCAAGGTGTAAACAATGTATTGTCAGTCTGCATATATACGTGTGTATTCATTTAAACTGTGCTAAGGCTTTTACAGTCTGAATGAGAATGCGCGTCGTTACTTCAAAACCATCAAACCCATAGTAAATGTTTAGTACTCGAATATTTATTCACCAGATAGTAATCTCACAATTAAATTATTACGTAAAGTCGGTTAAATAACAGCAGAAGTTATTGTATTAAGGCCTACTTTGCAAGGAAACCAATGACAAGGAAGCAGTGAAACAGACTAATAGATTATATGCTATAGCAATATATTGCCTTTTTATTGCTTTTCCACAGGCAGCAGATTCATGTATAGTTATTACTAGCTACATTATCTGGTAGTTTTCTATCAAAAAAGATTCAGTCTATTGAATCATTTATCCAATATTTATCATTCTTATTGAAAATCCACTAGTGTTAGCACTGTATAAAATATTGACTTAAATCTACTGGTTTTGCTAAAGATTAAAAACATATTAACCTAAAAAGCATGGTATTTCTTAGGACATTTGAAACTATTCATTGTGGATGTTTGAAATGACAATTTTTCTATGTTGTGTGAGGAGTGATTTTTTTTTTTTCTTTTTTTAATTTTTAACGTATAGTAAGTGACCAGTGCCATCCTGATTTGAAGATGCTGAATGTTCATTCAACTCATATTTGAAATTTTGATGTGTATTGCACTAGTTACTGAATATCAAGAATAAAATTTTTGCTCATACATAGAGTGTAAAATGGGATCTTTTGTAGCAGCACACGGCCTGTTTAGAATGATATAACAGGCGCTGAATGTTCACATATCAAACAAAATGCCATCTTTCTGTAGAAAAGAGGTGTCAAAAAGTTTCTTTGTACCTTTAACGCATGTGATTATGTAGTACAAAATGCAGAGTTTGTAAAATTTCTTGAATATACAGGCAAAAAATGAATAATTCAAAACAACTCATAAGTTCTACATTCTATTGTATCTTTTATAACGCAGGCAGAAGATAGCATTGTGTTCCCAGTAGAGCTGAATTTGCACAAGTTACACCTCGGAAAATGCCAGATGGTCTATGGTCTACTTTTGAGAGCTGTCACATATGTAAAGATTTGAAAAAAGAAAGACAGCTGAATGAGAGCAGTGGATCATTAAAGAGAGAGTGAGAGTCCCTGGGTATCACTGTGTTTTAAGAAGCATTGTGTCGTTCCCCATATAACACCTTTTTTTTTTTTTTAAGATATACACAACCTTTAAAAAATAAGGTAAAAATATTTCTGTTTTAAACTGAGTCGTTGTGGCTTAATCTTGGAACTGTCAATTGCTTTTGTTCTTTATGCTAGAATGCGGTCATATGGTTCCTAATTGGTTTCAAGTGTGTTTTAACCATAAGATTCAAGTCTCCCTAGTGCAAAATTATCAATAAAGTTAAAATAAATTTAAATTGAGGTAACTAATCCATTTGGGGTTTTATTCCATTTTGATTTGACCTGCATATCACATGTGAATACTGTAAAGCCAGTCAGCTAAAAAGTTGTATGTTAATGCTAAGAGAGTGAAGTAAGAGTACTTTGGAAACAGGATTATTTAATAAATTTAAAAAAAAAACCACACCAAAAAAACTACCCAAACCCTTAGTAAAAGTAATAATAAAAGCAAAACCAGTTTAGACTCCCCCAGACTTCCTATTCACCCACAGTTTGACAGAAACACACCTGATTTTGAAGGTTGAATTTTGGGTAATTTGCCAAGTTATTGTATTGTAGCAAAGCACCAAAAATATACAAAAAATTGTAAACTGCCACCACCAATTTAGCTGGCATGGAAAAGGTCATAACTGTCAGTTTTAGAAACTTGCATGTCCAGGCATACAGAATTTTTAGTATAGTCTATTGCTTTTATTTGTTGAGGAAAGTTAACCTCTCCCCAGTAATCTTAGGTTGTTGGTGCAACTGCACCACTCCACAGTTGGGAATCGTAGGCAGCGCAGTGTGCAGGAGCATCGTTACATGGAACGTGAAAAACACTGTTCCTGAACACTAAAATTTACATTGGAGTGGGATAAGGAAAATAAAGCTATGGGGAGCTATGGGTATGGATGCTGAATTTTAGAGAGTAAAAATTTGATTCGTGATGTTGCAAAAGATTTTATTTTTGACTGTCGTTAGGTCTACATTGACTATTTTTAAAATAGAAGGAATACCTTTTAATTTTTTAACAAAACTAGTTTTGCACATACGTGGAAAGATGACCTACACAAATGGTTCCTGGTAGTATATTTTTAATGAATCCTATTCAAGTAAGAGAAAACTCCTTAAAAATTTGTTTTGGGGTGTTTACAGAAGCCTGGAAATGTTAACAGACTATGTACTACAAATTGAATTGCAGAGTGAAGCAAGTGCCTTGCTTATGCTTCTGTTCATAAGTTTTGCAAACACTAATGAAAAATTGAAAGGAGAAGCAGTTTCAATATTGCCAATGAAAAACTTCTTGGGCAACAGTTAGTTGTTCAGGTGTCAAGATAGTGTTGTGCTCCTGCTCTGTTGGCTTGGAGGTCCGTGAGCCGTTACTGCTAGTAATGGAAGGGACTGATCTTTGTCTTCCCCGCAACAACGTTGTGGAGGCTAAAGCATAAATGTTTCCCTCCACCCTCCCTCTCTTTCCTGCATTACAAAATTATCACTTTTGTAAAGCAGGTTCAATCAAGGTTACTCTGACCTAGATAGATGTGGGCAGTCTAGGGTATCTTCTTAAAATCTTTGTTGCTGTGACTAAAAAAAATCAAATGGCAAGAAAAAAATGAACCAGTTACTTCTCATAATATTTGAATATGATCTCTTTTTTGCCTGTGAATGTGACCGAGACTTAAAGTTTAAGATTTTTCTGAAGTTTAATCTCGACAAGTTTATGAATGTTGGAGGAAGCAATCTGAGAATGGTATCGGTGTCGTTGATAAAAGGAAAGCATTGAGGGTTTTAGGCAAACTCATAACCGAGAGTCTTTTTAGAGACCATGTTGTCCAGTAGTATTTGTCCGAAATGTTGGTCACTTGTACCTGAAGTGATCAGTGGAGATGTTTCTTTTAGAGGAAGCTAACTGTAATTATCTATATGTATTGTTATCTTGAACACAGTGCAATCTACATACGAAGCTATACTCTGAAATCATCTGAAAATGGATGTGAATCATCTGAAAAGAGAATGAACTGCAGCACTGCTTTTCTTTACTGCTGGCACTGTCTAATCTCTCTTCAGTTGAGTGTTCGGTAGAATCTGGTCTTTTTCCTTGATATTAGATTTATAAATAGTTACAATTTGGACTGTCTGAAAACCTCTTTATGTCCAAGCGTGATACAGTAGTGTTTTGATTAAGGGAAGTGATTGGGCTGATGCTTTGTGATTATGAAATCTTCTTGTGTTACTGTGTGTATAGTTTAATGAGTTTTCAAATGAAGTCTGCGTGTTTGGGTTTTTTTTGTTTTCTAAGTAAGAATCTTTACTTGGAAACCCCTTTTTTATTACAAAGCTTTACATTAAAAAAATCCTGTGTTTTTTCTTTTCTTTAGATACAGACTTTAAATACATAGACAATGTATTTTCCATGTTATTAAAAACATATTCCTTTATGGTACAGTAGCTCAACAAAGAATGCTCAAGTTTTGTGCCCTCTCATTAGAATGGGTTTATAACGTGTACTCTTGGAGTCTTAACCAGGCCAGCGCAGATTCCTGCCTTGACAGGTTTTGTGGTTTTTTCCTTTCACCATTTCAGTTTGTTGCCATTAAAGCCCTAACTGGCCCATTAGAGCCATTTTTAAAATTGTGATTCTGAATTGAGGAATATGGAGGGAGGGACTCTGGCTTGCCGTAGCTGTGAGGTGTTTGAATGCATGGTCCTTCTGGTTACTGGATCATCTCCTGCACAAAACCATGTTTTGATTAGTTTTGTTCTTCCCAGCAATACACGATCTTTATGAATTGAAGCTCAAAGTGTGGTTAGTTACCTGGCCGCTCCTATTCTTCTCTAATATACTGATCTGTGGTGGCTGAGTGTTGGGGGGCCCCTGCCATGTCACTCAGGTTATTTTCTGACGACCGGCAGGTTGGCCAACCTGCAGCTTCACTTCTGTTACTGCAGTCTGTATCTTCCCTCGCATAACCTTTTTCTCTCCTTCTGTTGCATTTCCCCGGTTCTTCATTTGGCTCCCTTAATCAAAGTTTGTCTCAGTTTTGCTACTTTTTCTCCCATTCTTGCTTTTTTTTTCTTCTTCAAATTGCTTGCCGTATTCTCTCTGTGTAATTCACGGAGCCTTGCAAACCTGTGCAGTGCTGAATGGGGAATCTAGGCCTCATGCAGTCATAAGGTGCTTTCTGAATACCTAATAATTATTTTTAATCGAGAGATATTTTTTGCTTTCTCGTTCTAATGTGTGATTGTTAACTTTTTGGTCTATTCTTTGATCAATAAGAGCAATGAAAGTTGCATTCCCAGTCTAGCCTAAAGTGGTCAGTTATCAATTTACAATTTAAATTAACCTTTTCTTTCTTTCATTTTAAGCACAACCTCAACGTTTGCCTCAGCCGAATACTTCAGCACTGGAAAGGGGTGAGGAAGAAAGTGGCAAAATCCAAAATGGCCACGCAGGTCTGAGTAATGGAAGTGGAATTCATAACGGGATCAAGCACGCGCCTGCAGACAACAGAAAAATTTCGGCTCCTGTTTCAGAAAAAATGCACAGAAAAATTCAGTCCACCTTGTCTGTCAACAGCAGTAGCAGCAAGAAGAGTAAAATAAGCTCTGCGTTTTCTCAAAAGCCAGGTACTTCACCTGAAGGTAAGCAGAAATTCTTATTAAAAAACCCCAAACTGAATAAAGACTAACCAACCCCATTCTCACTAATAATTACACAATCAACTGAAAATAATTGAAGAGCATGACTCATGCTCCAGAAGCAAATAGAAATCATTATGATAAAACACAAGTTACTTCCCCAAAGGAAAATATTAAGTATTTGAAGGAAATTGAAGGAATGGGAGATTTCTTGCTTTCAAACATTTGGCCAACGTAGTCTGATAATGTTTTATCTCTGAACTGACAGAAACTCCTGTCAACATTGTCACATATACACCAGAAAAAAATGTTAAAGCAGTAGTTCAAAGCATAGTAAATACTTAAATCCAGTAATGGCAGGCTCCATGAGGGGAAAGTTTGCTTTGAAAATGTTCTGTTAGCAGATAGTCTGACTAGCCATGAGGTCTGAACGCTAGATAGTAACATTTGGACCTGTGCTTCAATGTTTAACGTGCCTTATACGATATTTGGGCTGTAAATAATTTGCATGAAAAAGCTTCGTGCTCCCTATGCACAGCTTAAAGAAGCAAAAGTAAATAATTTCTCTTACGTTTTAGCTGTGTGTGTGTGTGTTTTCACTGCTTGCAGTTACTCTAATGGTCCCTGAGTTCATGAGCCTCTCCTCAATCCACTGCCTTCCCATTAGCACTAATATACTTGATGGGCTTTGCTCCTGCCTGTTACAAGAAGGGTGCAGAGGCTCTGTAAATTTTATTACTTTGAGGCAGGCCTGGATGCGACTGGTTTAAAAAAAACTTGGTGGGGGAGTAGGTACAGACACAGATTCTTAGAGAAATGGGAGCCGGTACTGTTCAGTGAAATGGGGAGGATTCTCAGCCTAGATGAAAGGAAGAGGGATCAGAAGGACTGCACATAGCGGCCTGAGTGAAGCCTACTGATGTCAGTGGAGTGACTTCTCTTGACTTAAGTACTTCAGTCAAACCTACTAGGTGAATCTGTGTAGTAACATCAAGAACAGCTTCACTCGGACCGTGCCATGGGCTGGTCCTCCTTGCTGTTGTTTATTTTCATATTTATCTTCAAGAACCTACTGGTATTTTTCTGTTGCATTTTCACTCTTCTAACATTTCTTTCCAAAACCAGAACTTCTTACTTCTTATATTCTGCCTATCTATTTCTTTTACGTGAAATGCAGTTCACCTTCCAGCCTGATATTTTTTCTTATATATTTTTACTTCGTGCAGTATCAAAAAACTGTAAGTCAAGAGACCTAGCTCTGTTCACACGACTGGTACAAAGTGCAGGCCTCTGAATTTAAGAAAATCAACCTCTGAAAAAAAAATATTACAGAGTTCTAAAGAGACGGAGCCTGCCCTGTTCATGCCCCTATACAATTATTTATGGCAAACACTTCCTTTTTTCTTCTAAAATTATATTGGAATAAATACAGTCAGTGGGTTGGGGTGTTTTTGTTTTTAATAACCTTGGCAATGATTATGTCAAATTACTGAATGGTTGAACAGAAAATTAATAAGATACCTTTAGATTTAGCTCTGCATTCTAATGTCTGATTTTAATATCCAACACATGATTGTTAGTTAACTGAAACTGCCAATATGCAATCCGAAATGTTGATATTTTTTAAGGCATACCTGATTAGAATATAGATAACTACATTGTGTTGTCACACTAACCTACATACTTTCAAAGTACAGAAATACAGGGTAATCCTTACTGTCACATGTAGTTTCTTGAGTCATCTAATAGCTAAAACTAAATACATTCAACATTATACATCTAACCTTGTAATGTTCTCGTTTTGAATGTGGGAGCTTGTATATACACTCTGAATAGCTTGACCCGTGCTGCTAATGTCTACTGCTCTAAGTTTTCTGTTAACTAGTCTGAGTGAAGCACAAGTTTTATTGTGCAATGATTAAAGTGTATCTAGGATATTGTGATATGCCTATAAAGGAATATTTGTTTTAAAAAAATAATTTTCTTTTTTTGAAATTTATTTCGCTTTACAGTTCTCTGGCAGACATATTTATATTTGTGTCTACACATCTGCATGCACGCATGTACAAGCCTTCTGACAGTTTCTTCAGCTTTTCAGTAATTTACCCTGTGGGGCTGCATGGGGGAACTCTCAGCTATAAATTATGTTCTTACCAAGTTGTTACCTTGCAGGAAGTATCAATATATACTTAATTTGTTCTGTCATCCCTCAGTTTTTTGATAAGATTCACAGAGACTCTCGCAATGGTCAGTTGAACTATCTAAAATAACACAAAGAAAGATCACTATTTAAGGAAAAAATTATGTATCTGTTACTTGAAAATAATTGCGTTTATTATTTTAAAAAATGTTATCCTCTTATGACTACTTCCGCAAGGCTACACTTAAAGAACTTGATGTAAGTAGCCAGGTTATTAGTTCAAAGGAGTTTAATTGCATTTAAACCAGCAATATATATACTTGATGAATACATATAATTCTGCAAAGTCACAAGAGTGCACTAGTAAGCCCTGTGACTGAGGCTTGCATAGACAGTCTGTCAAAATGGTATACGCAAATTAATTTGAACCTAACTTCTGCAGCTTCTGTGTATTATGTATCATACTTTGTGGGCAAAGAGGCATTTTTGTCAGCAGTTACCTCTTCTGATCCAATGACATTTCTGTAGAAACTATTGAAAAGGTTTACAGGAAGATGGAAAAGATAGGAAGCTGTTGGAAATTATTTGCAGCATTGCTTAACTATTTGGCTTTGCTTTAACTTGTAACATGTTAACCTCATAAACCATTGGTTACTGCTGAAGAGCTACTGGGTTTGAGTTTACTTGAAGGTGTGAGTTTGTGTTTGTGCACGCCTATACAGTATAATAATATAACTTGTATGCAGTTTCTTATGTAACCTTTTGCAGAAAGAGACAAATTATATTAATTTTTGCACTGCGAGTATTGAATAATCAATCACCCGAATTAACTCAGCTACTTCAATTTACTATAGTGTCCAGATAATTTTAATAGAAAGAAATACGGATAAACTTGTACACTTTCAGGTATTCCGATTCACTTTAATTTTGCTATTCCTTATGTACAACCTTGGATTTTATAATCTAATTTATAGCTTTTTTCCCTTTTAAACCTGAAAATACATGCCATGTTGTCTTCCACTCTAAGTGCTCTGCTCTGTTGCCAGTCAGAATAACTGGTATTAAGTGAAGCCAAGAGGCCAGAGAAAATAAATAGATTATGTCATCAGAAGGAAGAAAAGTGAAAATTCTGGTCATCAAGCTGAGTTTAGACAATAGAAAAAAGAAAATATTTTTCAGTTTTTCTTATTCCCTCCCAAAAGCTGCATTCTTCTTGTTTCATCTTAAAAGACAAGATGTGAATATTTCTGGAGCACCACACCTATTTGTAATGCAAAATAAGTCCTGGTCTGGTACTTATTTTGCACTAGAACATCTTATCTATTGACAGAACAGAAAACCTGGTAGTGCTTGAAGCAGGATAGAATCAAGAAACATCCAGGCTTGCCACCCGTCCTGTGCAGGAGCATGTTTAGGCTTATGCTTATTTAAGAGGTTAGCAAATGCAGCATACTGCTTCATATACAGCAGGCTTCGATATATATACCAGAGAGCTAAATGAAGTCCAATATTATTTTACCCAGGACACCACATCTTCCCATGAAGGTCAGTACTGCTCCTCTTGGTCTCCAAAGTACTAGACAGCCCTAATGCAAGCTATAAAGCCCCCCAGTCCCCCAGCCCACCAAAATCCCCCCACCACAGTTAACAACTCTTTTATCAGTTGTTTCAGCTGCAAACTCCACTTGTGCTGTAGATCGCATTTTTCTGAGCTTTCAGAATTGAAGTTGCATTGGAAGCGCTTAAACGTAACAGATCTTTTGGTAGCAGTAGTATAAAAGTGTTAAAAACTTTTTAAGTTGAAGGCTTTTTAAGTGAGCCTGTAGTGAATGGAGTCGTGTCAGCATTCCCAAATAATGCTGTTTAGAAACACTTTCACATCCAGTGAGGCTTAGGAGGTTGTGAGTGCACTCACCAGCTCTGCTCTTCCTCTGCATCTATTATTAATCCATATTGTCCCTGAAGAAATCATACTGAGCTCCATCACTTACACTGCAAAAAAACAAAGGAATTATGAAATAGTAGGAGTGTCTCTCTTAAAAAGCAGTTTTTAAACACCATTTCAGTTCTAAGGATTTTTTGGAAGCACTGAATAGGTTTCAGTGCATACTGGGAGTAAAAGATTTTTTTTCTTCAAAGAAATTTTAATAGTATTTTAAATTACTGATGTCAGAGGTGTCACAGTTCTTCCAAAACTCTGGTTGGTAGACCACTAGCAAAGAGAGCTGTCACTCTCTTGCACCTGTAATGTGCAAGAAACACCTTGGAAACCTGAAAAAGCAATTGTAAATGAGTAAAAAGAAGGCAGTCTAGCTGCTGTGTTTGGAAGGAGCGGTACCTGTCCAGAGCAACTTAGAGGAGGAGATCTAAAGGCAGCAGCAATGAGGCAACTGAACGGTAAATCTAGATGTTAGCAGATGAAGAAAAACGAGTAAGCAAATACATACATGTGTGTCAGAGTAGTGGAAGATAAGTAATAATGACCTATGGAGAGCTGGAGGAGGAAAGGGAAGAAGAAACTGGGCAGTGGGAGGGGTGGAAGAGGAATTTATTTAAGGGAGCAGAGAGGGCAAAATGAAGTAGACACTAATTATTTTGTAAAAAACAAACCAAGTTTTCCTAGCAAAACCTTATGAAGCTTGACGTTCTGCATTTTTTTAAGCAAAGCAGTCGTTTCTGAAAAGTTAATGATGGGAAGAGGGAATACAGGTTTTAATTCAGTTTTGAAATGGAGCTCTCGCTTCTGGTCAAGTTACTGTGACTTCCCAAGTTACTACGTTTGTCAGGGTAGTTCCCACAACTGTAGGAACTTGTGATAATTTGAGTTTAGGGTGGTGCTTCACATACCCAAAAGCCTGAAAGC